GAAGTATTTTACCTTATTTGCAGGGAGTATTCCACTTTGTAAGAAGTTCTTTTGGGCCCAGAGAGAAGATAAGATTTTATTTTTTTTAATGAGTGAACCCCCTCTCCATTCTCCCTTAAAGGCACACTTAGGTTGAATATGATAAACAGAAATGTCTCCCAGTCTGAAGCATCTCATTTTTCCACCCAAAAGAATTCCACAACTCCCCATTCTCTCCATAATGAAGAAACAATTGTTTTCAGGTTGTGACAGTAAATCTGCAAGATAATTATTCCATAACTAATCTGGGAAACAAAGAACGCAGAGGGAATTACATTTTCTCCTATGCATTTGTTCCAGTTATTTCCGGAAATTTTTTCAAGAAGCTTCACTTAAAAGGTACTTTAAAAAAAAAAAAAACACAACAAAAAAAACAATTTTTTTCCCATCTTTATACTTTCACATGGTACATTTTATTGTTGGTCTAAGAATACTGTCTTTTATGAACCTTCAACAGAAGCTTAGAAACAAAAATAAGATTACCCAAGGTTCTTGCTGACATCAGTCAGGAGAAAAATTCCAGTCTTCTGGGCTCTGAGTTTAAAAAATCCTGCTGGTTTCAAGAGAATATAAAAATTTGTGCCTACACAGTATATGAAGTAAATATCTTTCAGAGAAAAGTACTGCCAATTGCAGTCAATGCAGAGCATCTCTGAAGAAAGTTGCAACCTACATCCATGTATATGAACTAGTGCAGCAAAAGGAACCCATGATAATTAGGTACAAAAAAAAGTAAATCAACCTATCAGCCTAAAAAAATAATTGTACATTTCATTCACACTTAGCAATACCAAAATAAACATATAAATATACAAGTTTTTTGGCACAGAGTTACATACCTATAAAAAGCAGTGAGTGTTTCCTAGCAAACTGGAGTCCTTCTCTTCTCTCTACTTCACGGTCAGGCTGCAGAGATGAAGGAAGAACATGACTACAGTAAGCTACAGTTGCCATTTTTATGAAGTCCCTGGAAAAGCACCACTGCAGAACTGAAGTTCTGCTGAAAAGAAAACACACTATAAAACCATGTCATAATCAGCAACTAGATTTTCCCACTCTACAGACAGCTTACTGCTAGGCAGGTTATTAGGGGATCAAATTGAGTAGTAGCAACACCAAATCATCAGGAAATTAATGTGTTGAAAATTAATGTGTTGCTATCTTCTGAATCAATTAGGAGCAAGATATGTACCAGAAAGGAGGTTTCCATAGTGAAATAGTTGAAAAGGCATGTCAGAGGATATGACAATTGACAGATTTGGAAGAGGGCAGAAGACAGTTCAGGATAGCCACACTGGAAACCTCTTGCAGTATAGCAGGCGTGAAACATCTCACTATGCAACAGGCATCTAAGATACGTGAAAACACCCCAGAAATGTACAGCAACCAGGGCACCTCACACCCACACAGATGCATACTCTACAGTCATCTGAAGAGGTGAATTCTCCTTCCATACCTGTCCAAAAGAGTCTGGTCAAAAAGAAAGCAGCAGCTGTGCTGTTGGGCTGCAGTTAACTTCAATGGCATACAACAGCTTCTAGGCAGACACTCTCACCATCTTAAAGAGAATCTCTCTCATCAATTACATCTCTCCAGGAGAGTTCCCATTAAAATCTTTAACAAGATTGGCTTCTAAAATGACATAGTAAATAGGGCCTGCCCAACCTAGGTTGCCGAGTTACAGAGCGTATCAGCTCCTCACAAAACAGATGTGTTAGTTTCAGCACTTACATCACATTTATACACTATCATGACTGAGTAATCTGTGGAAGAATGTAAGAGGATGCATTTCTAAAACTGACCTTATCGGTTTTATTGCCAACTAACATCTTCACAGTGTTGCTTTTGGCGGTATACATTTCCAGCTCATTCAGCCAGCTCTCTAGTCCGGTGAAAGTGTCTTTTCTTGTAACGTCATACACTGGTAACAGAGGAAAAGGAGCTTAACAGCTGTAGAGTCCTGAACAATGTTTACTTCATTAATGGCAGAACTTGCTCCCGACTAGCTAACTACCGCCCCTCCCCCCCACCACAAGGCAGTATTAGGGAAGAACAGAAAGATGCATCAACCTTATCTTCCCAAAGCTGGAACATCGTGGCTGTGCCCACCCAGAGTCACTACGGATTACAGACCACAAGCATCTCTGCAATAGATCTGTGACTGGAAATCAGACTTACCAGTTGAAATCTTATACCTGTTACTAGTTCTGAATTGGGCCACACAGAATATTTTACAGTATGTATTTTATAACCTCATTTAATGAGTAACTACATGAACACACTGCTGGTAAAAACAAAGAGTCTGAGTAAAAAGTTACTTTTGATCAGTGGTAACTTCATAACTGCATTCACTTAATCACTAAGGTTTAAAACCAAGCTGCATCATAAAGAATATTTTGTACAGCAAGGTGTTCAGCCTTCACAAACCCGGAGAATAAGAACCCCTTCTTTTTCTAATTGGTGGTGTCACACAGAAAGGGACTAGCCATTCATTACTTGCGCTACAAACCTCATGTCTTACAGTAATCACATCAATAGTTTATGGGGAAAAAAAAAAAAACAAACACAACAACACATTGTGGGGGAAAAAAAAAACAATCACACAAACCCCAATTTGCCTTATCACCAGAAACTCACCAAAGTAACAACTACAAAGCTAATAATTCATCCACTCAATAGCCTGCAGTATGCCATTTAAAGTATTTTCAAGAAGCATTATTTCCTACCAGTGGTTTTGCATACTCAGTGTTTGAGGTAATGATGCAGTAATGTTGTAAAAACCATAATTGTCCCTCAGATTCTCTCAGACAACCTCCTTTTGTAAAGACATGCGCATTTAGCTAGGAATAAAGACCACACTTTTTTAATCATGTTTTTCTTCCATACACCTCCTACCTAAAACAACCCCTTGAGCTCCTCGGTAATAACTGGGAGTCAGTGTTCTAAAGCGCTCCTGTCCTGCTGTGTCCTACAGAGAGGGGGGGGGAAAAAACAAACCACACACATACACAAAACCAAATATATTTAGAACAAAAAAAAAAAAAAAAAGTATTTTTAACTACACAAGTTAAAAGTTAAATTTTTCCTGAACAGTAAGGATATATGAAACAATAAGACAACAGAAGGAGGGAAGCAGTCAGAAAGCAGCAGCAAGAGAAAATGGATGAGGGGCAGAAAAGCATGCAGAAGACTTGATTGAAGGCTAAAGCAATAAGCACAGACACCTGCAACATGAGTGAGACAACAAGAAAGTCAATGGGACTTAAACATAAAAGGCTACTGCTGCAAGCCAAGCAGCTATGCTTAATCTGTTAACCATCAGTTGAACTGAGTGAGGAATAACTGGTTTTCCAGTAAGAGACACTGCAGGAAAGGAGACACAGTGGTTCCAAAAATCCCCCTTTGCTCCTCCACAGCACGAAAAGGTAATCCAGTTAGAAAGAACTAGTTCAAGTTTGCCAAGACTCTAAGCAGATAAGAAATGTAAATCAGTAGTTTCATTCAGTTATTACTGCAATAGGTCACACTTAATTCTCACAAATCTTCAAAATAGCTCCTAAGTGCAACATGAAATTCAAAAACCCTCAGAACAAACAATAAGGAGACAAAAGAATTACACAAACATGATTTTTACCAAAAAAAAGTATGTACAATTACAATAGACAGACTAACAGCTATACTGTAATTTATTTCTTGTTAAAAATAAACTAAAATTGGTAATATATTTACTTAATTCAGGTCATTGTTACTAAGGAGATTGTACTCTTCACCATCTATGCACACACAGATGCTAACTATACAACTTGTGCAAGTTCTGGCCTTGTTTTTGATGGCAAAGCAAGGAGACACAGCCCTGTGTGACTACCAGGGCACATATATCTTGGTTACTCTCAGCGAAGATTCTGCTTTGTGTGCAGCATGTTCAGAATACCTATGCTCACTGGCTAGAGCAAGTGTGACTTCATCACTGTTGCTCTGCATTTTGTATACAAAGTATGAATGAAAACAATAAAATAATTCAAGTTGTGGCATTTGTATTACTTTTGTTAATACCAGCCCAAGGCACATTTGTGCTCTCTTTCCAATACTCCAAATTGTTTAATTAGTAATGGCATGATCTTTCTCAAATACCTATGACCATACACAAAAATCTCTTCCTTCTAGGGCTCTTTCATTCCATTTAGGATAATAAACATGGTGCTTTAATATTATAAATAATCCTGATCACACAGCTGCAATCTGATTTCCCAGTTTACAGGTGCTGGAAATATAGCATCAGGAAGTTCAGGACAAATGCTCAAGTCTCCCAGTAAATCTGAACCAACCTTTTAATAGTTCAGGACCAAGGCCACATCTTTGCAAGTCTAACACTTCAGAAAGGGTTTGAGATACCCAGGTGT